GACACTGGTATTGGGAGGGGTGGGGTGAAGAAAAGGAAGAGGTGTTTACTAGCTATATGGCAAAGGGTGGGGCTGTAGGGAATGTGGGTTGAGGGGGATTTTCTGGAGAAAACATCAATGGGGAGAGCTCTGGAGAATTTAATAGCTCGTGGGTGAAGAAAATACTACTTAATATTAGTAAATTGTTCGTGCTAGCTGACTTGTTGCTTGAAAGCACAAAAGTTCATTGGAAACTTTCTAAAGCACTTAGAACTCTCAGCGCAGAGGAAAAAGCAAAATGGTTTTGCATCGCTGCAAGGTGGGGAGGGCTGAAAAGCTGCGTGTCAGTCACTTGAAGGATGGGTGTCAAAACCTCGAAGCAGCAGGGTATTAACATCCTCCACTGCTCTGCAAGTGCCTTACGTGGCTTATCTGAAGCTGGGAAGGTGAGTCTTAGAAAAGACTTTAAATGCTCGAATTGTGGGCTTTTAAAGTATTTAAATTTGGAAAAAAGAAAATGGAGATTTTGGTGTACACTTGAGATTAGATGTATGCTTTGGGGGTTATTCTGGATTTGTAACTCATTTTTTGGTCACAGATTTTGTGCTTGAAAATTCTGAGCAAAGTGAAAAATGATTTCTAAAGGAATTTTGTATGTTAACATTGTGCATTATAAACAAATCGCTTGTCTTTTGTGGTCAGTATTAACAAACGTTTTTGCTTACTATTATCTTTACATGGTCATTGTAACAAGGAGGACCAAATAACCTTTTGTGGTCACTGTAAAATGACTGTACTATTTGGTAACAAACAGTTACCAAGGTTAGAGCGTATAATCTATCATATCTTCAGTTTGAAAAAAAAAAAAAAGAGTACATGAGTCATGGCTGGTGTGCTCAGTGGTTAGAGTGTCAGCCCACACACCCAAAGGTTGCGGGTTCGATTCCCAGTCAAGGGCACATATCTGGACGTGTGGGAGGCAACCAATCAATGTGTCTCTCTCACTTTGATGTTTCTGTCTCCTCCCCCCGCCATCTCCCTTCCTCCCACTCTCTAAAAATCAATGGGAAAAATATCCTTGGTGAGATTAAAAAAAAAAGGAGTAAATGAGAGGGAAGAATTGGCAAATTGGTCGGGAAGGGAAGGAAGAACACAGGGTATCCGCTGGAGGTTTTGTTTTATTTTTTCTTCCCTTTTAAAGCTAGACGAAGCTTGGTTGGACATGGTTACATGCTGAAGAGAGACCCAGCTGAGGAGAAGAGATGATACACGAGAGGGAGGAGAAATTTGTGGAGCATCATCCTGATGGAGATCCAGTGGCGGGGGGATGGGAGCACAAGAGGGTTGTCCCTCAGCGTCCCCTGAGACCAGGGCGAGCAAGTGAGGCTGATGCAAGTGTGGATGTTGAGTGGGAGAGAGGTGGGAGGTGGAGATTCTTTCCAATGGTCTCCGTTTTCTTCACAATGGTGCCTGGCTAAGGCAACTCTTTTTTTTTTTTTTAAATTTTTATTCCTTGATTTTGAGAGAGAGAGAGAAAAACATCGATTTGTTGTTCCACTTATTTATGTATTCATTGTTTGATTCTTTAAATTTTTAAAATTTTATTTGATTTCAGAGAGGAAGGGAGAGGGAGTGAGAAATAGAAACATCAATGATGAGAGAGAATCATGGATTGGCTGCCTCCTGCACGTCCCACAGTGGGGATCAGGCCCTGACCGGGAATCGAACCATGATCTCCTGGTTCATAGGTTGACGCTCAACCACTGAGCCACGCCGGCCAGGCACATTGGTAGATTTTTGTATGGGCCCTGACTGGAGATCGAACCCACAACCTTGGCATATCAGGATGCTGCTCTAACCAACTGAACTACCTAGCCAGGGCCGGCAACTCTTAGTATTCTGCTGCCCCAGTTCAGTCAGGATTGGAAGGCGTAAACGCCGTCTGACTCTGATGTTCTTCTGGTGTCTCCTCTCTAAAGCACGAGACCTCCTTTTCCTGGAACTAGTTTTCCAGCTCTGGGCAGCTAAGTGCTGGGTTTCTGCAGCTGGTCATCTAATTCCTTTGAATTTCAAATAGAAAGACTGCCTCTTACCCTCTTTAGATAAAAAGTAATCTATAAGGCACTGGCTGGTGTGGCTCCGTTTGGTTGGGCATCGTCCCATATGCTGAAGGGTCATTGGTTCGATTCTCGGCCCAGGGAACATGCCCAGGTTTCAGGCTCGATTGGTTGGGGTGCATGTGAGAAGCGGCCAGTTTCTCTCTCACCTCTTTCTCCCTCTTCCTCCTCTCTCTCTAAAAATCAATGAAAACAAATTGATAAAAGAATAATCTGTAAGAAGCTTTTGAAGGGTGGAGAAGCTCAGCAGGCAGAGAAGTGAGCAGAGCACTCCGTGTGCCTGAGGCTGGGCTTGGACTAATTCGTCTTGGGGAAACTACTTCCTAAAATTTGCTGAGCCAGCCCTGGCCCTACAGGGTTCTGTGCCTGTGCCTGGCAGACACAAAGGGTCCTAGGGGGGAGTGGGGAACCTCGGGTTAAGGGATACCCTTGTCCTAACTCATTTTGCTTTCTTTTTTGTTTGTTTGCTAACTCATTTTTGGATCTTGCCACCCAAGAATCTAACTGAACCCTTTTTCCTGTTGATGTTTTCCACTTTCTAATCCAGAGGAAGAACATGCTTCATATATTATCTGCTGGATAAAGCAGTACAACAGAATGTACAATTTTTGATAATTTTATGCAGTTGCGAACTTCTTAGCTGCTGGTGCTAAAGGTCAGATGTAGCTACTTCACACTTACTTCCCACAAGCTCATCCCTAACACACACACAGCAGGTTCTTGAATAACAGTGTTTTGTTATGACATGGATGAAAAAAATAAAATTGATTCCCGGCCGGGGCCGCTGTCTGTGCGGAGTTTGCGTGCTCTCCCCGTGGCTGCGTGGGTTTCTTGAGTTCACCAGTTTCCTCCCACATCCCACGATGTGACCGTTAGATGAACTGGGGTGTCTACACTGTTCCACTCTGAGTGGGTGTGGGTGTGGGTGTGGGTGGCCTTTCGCCCTGAACTACTGGGACAGGCTCCAGTCACCCATGACCCTGAACTGGAATAAGTGAGTTGGAAAATAATTAGCTCACTGTTTTCATTTATCTTTCTTAAATGTATGGATAGCTTACATTAACTTCAATGTTTAATATTAGAAATGTTTTGGGTCTTTATTTTGAAGTTTGGTGATGTTTCTGTGACCAGAAATGTGCCCTAGGAACTTAACTCTTTTTTATATCAATTAGCCCGCGGTGACATTGGTTTCATTATATGTTGTTTCGTTGAAAGGTGCAGTTTCCAAGAACCTATAAATAACGTTGAGGATTTTCTGTGCACACATGGACCCGTGATTCTCACCTTCAACTATAGACTAGAATCGCCTGGGGAATTTTTAAAAACACCACTGCCTGGCTGGCCGGCCAGCGTGGCTCAGTGGTTAAACGTCAACCTATGAACCAAGGAGGTCACGGTTCGATTCCCGGTCAGGGCACATGCCTGGGTTGCAGGCTCAGTCCCCAGTGTGGGGTGTGCAGGAGGCAGCCGATCGATGATTCTTTCTCATCGTTGATGTTTCTATCTCTCTCTCCCTCTCCCTTCCTCTCTGAAATCAATAAAAAAAATTTTTTTTGAAAAAAACACACCACTGCCCTACTACAGGCCAATTACATGAGACTGTCTCGGGAGAACATGGGTGTCGGGACCGTACTTTTAGAAAGCTCCCCCAGCGTCTCTAATGTGCAGCCGGGGTTGAGAACCGCTGAGCCGGGCTAACCTTTCATTGCCACCATTTGCTCCGTGTCTTCTCCATGTCATGGCTTCTGGAGGAAAGGATGCCAACCCTGGGGTAGCTGTGGGGGCTGCTTGCAGCTGGAGGCAGCTGGCCGGGGGTCCTGCCCCTCTGCCTGGTTTCCTGAGGGCCTAGGAGGGGTCAATATTTTGGCACAACTGTATCCCATCAGGCTCCTGGGCCTCACCCTCTGGAAAGCTTTATTTAGGTGCTCATATTGGCGTATTTGGGGAGAATCCTTGTGCAATCTGAGTAATCATAGATGTGTTTCATAACGCTCTATTGTACTTTTTAAAAAATATATAAATTTTTATTGATTTCAGAGAGGAAGGGAGAGGGAGAGAGAGAGATAAAAACATCAATGCTGAGAGAAAATCATTGACTGGCTGCTTCCTGCACGCCCCCCACTGGGGACTGAGCCTGCAACCTGGGCATGTGTCCTGACTGGGAATCGAACCGTGACCTCCTTGTTTCATAGGTTGACGCTCAACCACCGAGCCACGCCGGCTGGGCTGTACTTTTCATTTATAGCTTTATTGGGGTATAATTGACATACAATAAACTGCACATACTTGAAACATACAATTTGAGAAGTCTTGACATAATGGGAAACCATTACACAGTCTAGATAGTGAGCCTCGTCACCATCCCCCAAAGTTCCCTCTGCTGCTTCCCACCCCTTCCCAGGGAGTCACTGATCTGCTCTCTGTCACTGTACGTTAACTTCATTTTCAGAATTTTATCTAAGTGGGATTCAAATACTCATACTCTGTTGTCTGGCTTGTTGTACTCACTGTGGTTATTATGAGACTTGTCCGTGATATTGCATGTGTCAATAATTCTTTCCTTTTTATTGCTGAGTAATGTCAATTCTGTGGACACATCACATTTTTTTAATCCATTCAGCTGTCGGTGGACATTTGGGTTGTTTCTGGTTTTTAGATATTACACATAAAGCCGCTATGAGTATTCACATATAAATCTTCGTGTGGACGTGTGCTTTCATTTATTTGCGTAAGTAACTTTGATAGCTGAGTCATGTGGTAGGTGGATGGGGTTATCTTTTCAGGAAGTTGCCTGTGTTCTAAAGTGGTTAAACCATTTCACCTTCCCAGCAGCAGCATCTGAGAGCTGTCCCCTCTGAACTGTTTGAAGAGCCCTTATTTCTGTCTTCTCCAACTGGTTGATGCCTCCTCCTATCCTCTGGGTACGTGTGAGAGAGATAAGGATGGGAGTTAGGGGCCGGAGGTTATAGATGAATGGAAGGGTGAATGGCTGTAATAGATAAAGTTGTCTTGGTATCTGTTTTCCCCTCCATCTTTCTGTCGTAGGCAATTAAGAAACAGGTAGATGTCACCTAAGTCAGATTATGAATGCATCTCTTTTTGTGACTGCATGATTGATATTTTTACCCCTCACCTGCAGGTGCCCAGACACCATGCTGCAACCCTGCAGGCCTGACCTTGGCAGGAAGTAGAAGCCCTCCTTGTCTCCTCCGTCCCCATCCTCACCATGTCGTCGACTCCGGGCAATGGGAAACACTGGGAGTCCCTGGAGTCCGTGGGTATCAGCCGCAAAGAGCTGGCCATGGCCGAAGCCCTGCAGATGGAGTATGATGCTCTCTCCCGGCTCCGGCATGACAAGGAGGAAAACAGAACCAAGCAGAACACAGACCCCTCTCTCATCGACTGGGAGGAGCCCGCGCTGGACTTCTACAACAAGCCGGCAGGCAGACAGAAGGACCTCAAGCTCTTACGCGGTCTCTCTGGCTCGGATCCTACCCTCAATTACAACTCACTCTCCCCACAGGAAGGGCTGCCCAACCACTCTACCTCCCAGGGCTCCCAGCCTGGCCCAGATCCCTGGCCCAAAGGCTCCCTGGCTGGAGACTATCTTTACATATTTGATGGTTCAGATGGGGGACTCTCTTTGTCCCCAAGACCGGGGGACACAGATGGCTCTTCTAAGAAACTGTCCCCGCCTCCTCTGCCTCCTCGAGTCTCTATCTGGGACACCCCTCCCCTACCTCCCAGGAAGAGGGCCCCGTCTTCCTCCAAGATCTCCCAGCCCAATGACATCAACACTTTTTCTTTGGTCGAACAGCCTCCAGGCAAGTTGCTGGGGCATCAGATCTTAGAAGACGCGGAGCCAAGAAGTGGGGGGACAGGGCGCCGACTGGGGCCTGTGGACTACGATGGTATCAATGATGCGATCACACGGCTCAACTTGAAGTCAACCTACGATGCAGAGATGGTGCGGGATGCCACCAGGGGCTGGAAGGAGGGCCGGGGGCCCTTGGACTTCGGCAAGGACATCCCTGGAAAACCCGTGGCCCGGAGTAAGACCATGCCCCCGCAGGTGCCCCCCCGCACCTATGTCTCTCGCTGTGCCAATCGGAAAAATGCGACGCCTGGCAAGAACCACCGGATTTCTGCTGCCTCGGTGAGGACCTTGTGTTTCTTTTGTCCTTTTCTCATGTTGTTCGGAAACAGAAGAGTCTCCCTTTTTTCTTGGCTTTCCAGATCGGCTACTTACTCATCCCTTTAGTCCTCTCCGCCCTCGGCTTCTGTCATCGGGCCCCTGGGTCCTGGTGGGGAGAGGAAACGGGGCACCTGAGACATGGCTCGTCCCCAGGGCTGAGCTTTGTGTACCTTGTGTATCTCCTGGGAGCAGGCGTTTCAGAATCCCAGTGTCCAGTGTGTGCCTGCGGTTCGATGTGAGGACAGAGCCGGGGTTATGGGACTCGTCGTTGGTCCCAGTGGCCTTGTGGACTGGAGCCAGTAGCTTCTGCTTTTTGTTCTGCGCGGTGATGAGGCTCAGGCCTCATATTCACCATCGTTTGTGCTCACTGAACACCAGACCCTGGTCCAGACCCCGCAGCAGCCCCGCCTGATGGTCTAAGGCCGTGGTCGGCAAACTGCGGCTCGCGAGCCACATGCGGCTCTCTGGCCCCTTGAGTGTGGCTCTTCCTAAGCCTCAGGAGTACCCTAATTAAGTTAATAACAATGAACCTACCTATATAGTTTAAGTTTAAAAAATGTGGCTCTCAAAAGAAATTTCAATCGTTGTACTGTTGATATTTGGCTCTGTTGACTAATGAGTTTGCCGACCACTGATCTAAGGCACCCAGCTCTGGTGTCTCTCATTCCAAAGCTGGCTTGTTCTCGCTCTCTGTCTCTTCTCTGTGTCTTCTTCTCTGTGTGTGTCTCTCTCTCTGTCTCTCCCACTGTATCTTTCTCTTGGTTGTTTCTGTCTCTCTCTCTGTCTCCCTCTTCCCTCCGACTCTCTCTGACTGTCTCTCTCTTTCCTTCTGTCTTTCTCTGTCTCTTTTTCTCTTTCATTTTCTCTTCTCTCTTTCTCTCTCTTTTCCTGTGTCTACCTCCCTGTTCTCTTTCTCCCTGTCTTTCTCTCTGTGTCTCTTTTATTATGGAGAAATATACATAATATTACATTTACTGTCTTAACGAATGCTAAGGATACAGTGCAGTAGCATGAAATACATTCACATTGTTCTGCGACCATCACCACCAGTCATCTCTGTTCACATTGAAAATATTTAGAAAAAATATGTGGGATGACAATAATACTTTTACTTGTATCCAAACATAATATGAAATAGCAAAGCCACAGGTGGGTCCAGGAGAGCTCTGAGGATCTTCTGGTCTCGAGAAGTGCCAGCAGCATCCCCAGGGGTGGGCATTGAAGGCTGCTCTGTGCTTCCCCCGGGGGCCCTGGCAGCCCTGGCCCGAGAAGGGGTCAGGAGGCACCCTGGCGGCGACACCTCCTGTGGGAAGAGCGAGTATTTACCTCATTCCACCCCTGTTTCCTCCTTGCACATTGTCTAAAGGAGCTGGGGCTTTCCCACCTGGGTCCTGGCCACAGGGACTCTGCACAGCTCGGGACCAGCCACGTGCCCCCTCCTCCCCGTGCCCCCTCCTCCCCGTGCCCCCTCCTCCCCGTGCCCCCTCCTCCCCGTGCTTCTGCTGGGAGAGACACCGACGTAGCATCAGCTCCCGGGACAAGTCACAGCCGGAGGAGCTCCGGGCTTTTTAAAGGCCCTGCTCCGAGAGGTGGGGCTGCCCCGCTATTTATAGGGACACGGAATCCTGTTCCCAGTTCCGAGTTCCTCTCACAGAGTGGGGCCTGCTCGCCCGGTCCAGCCACCCTGGTAGGTGGTCACCGCTGTCGCTCCCTGTCCGGCTCCCTCGCCCCGTCCAGTCCCCCGCTTGTCTTCAGAGTTTGGAGGGGGAGCTGGTCCGAGCCTTGAGGAAGCGAGGGCCACGCACAAAGCCCTGCCCATTGTTAGTGGGGAAATGCGGCCTTGGTGTTCACCACCTCAACTCGGTGCAGGGACCCATCCCACCGGGCGGGGGGACCCCTCGGGCCCTCGGCCTGTACCCCCACCCCGCCTTCGCCGGGCTTCCAGCCAGAGGGACCCTCCTTGTCCCAGGCCCGTGGAGCCAGCTCTGGAAATGGTTGGCTCCAAATGCCAGCTTCGTGCCCCCGCTGCCAGCCTCTGCCTGGCAGACGCCCCCAGCCAGCGCCGGGTGATGCCGCCAGGGCCTGCCAGCAGGGTGAACGTAAGTGGCTTTGTTTTCTTACGGAGCCAGGGAATGGCACTGAAAGGGCACGGACATGGCCTCAGTAGCTACTCTGTTCTCTCCCCGTCGCCGCCCCCTCCTCTCTCTCTCTCTATTTCTCTGTCTCTCTGTTGCTGTTTCTCTGTCTCGTCCTGTTGCTCTGTCGCTCTCTCGCCCTTGCTTTTGTGGGTTCATTGCTGACAGTGGTGCTATTGTTTTGACTGGGACACAGGCATGAACTTGGCAGAGCCAGGACCTCACATGCCAGCTGCCCCCACTGCTGCCCTCCCCACCCTGCAACCCCCCTGTTCACCCAGGGGAGCGAGGCTAACAGGAGAGGGTCACTCAGAGGAAACTCTGGATATTCCAATGAGGGGTCAGTGCTGCCGTCTGCCCGCGGGGCCGGAGGACGTGAGCAGAGCTGGAGGGAGGGTGAGAGTTGAGGCATTGCTTGTGTGCAGCCCAGGCTGTGGGCTTCCCGGAAGCAGGTGTTGGCACCGACGGCGGGCGCTGCATCCCAGCTGCAGCTTCGTTCCCTTGGGGTGGCCTCGCCGGGGCTGTGGGCAGGCCTGTCAGGCAGAAACCCGTCACGCACCAGCTCCCCTACTTCCTCCTGCTCCAGGCTGGGCGGCAGGCCCACGGGGGCGGGCGGGGGGTGGGTGCGGGGAGGGCCTCCTTGTGGGTGAGCAAAAGCAGTGCCGTGACTACAGGGGTCGGTGTGAGGCCTTGTCTGAGAAAATTCCCACCACCACACACGCCCTTGGACAGGAAGTGGGGCTCAGGCAGGTTCCCTGACGTTGCAGCTAATCAGAACCAGAAGGCTCGGGAGCCGGGAGGAGCTCAACCTTCTCCCAGGCCCTCTCCCAACCTGAAAGCTGCTCGGACTCTTTCTTCCTCCAAGTGCTGGCCCAGAAGCCACGTGTGTCTGTCCTCGTCCCCAGCTCAGGACTCTCGGTCTCTCTCTACTTTGGGTCCCTGGGACTTGCTGTGGGTGTGGAGGCTTTGGCCCAGGGCCCAGCTCCCCTGAGGACTGTTTGGGCAGCCCACTCCCCCTGCTGATTAGGACCCGCCCTCGTGGGAAAGAGATTGGGCCTCCCTCATGCCCAGGCTTCCGGCCTTAGTCAAAGCTTCGAGCTCTCTCTCTCTTTTTCAAAAATATATTTTTATTGATTTCAGAGAGAACGGGAGAGGGAGAGAGAGAGAGATAGAAACATCAGTGATGAGAGAGAGTCATTGATTGTTGTTTTTTAAAAAAATATATCTTTATTGATTTCAGAAAGCAAGGAAGGGGGAGAGAGAGATAGAAACATCAGTGATGAGCCCTGACCGGTTTGGCTCAGTGGATAGAGCATCGGCCTGCGGACTCAAGGGTCCCAGGTTCGATTCCGGTCAAGAGCATGTACCTTGGTTGCAGGTGCATCCCCAGTAGGGGGTGTGTCTCTCATCGGTGTTTCTAACTCTCTATCCCTCTCCCTTCCTCTCTGTAAAAAAATCAATAAAATTTTTTTTTTTTTTTAAAAAGAAACATCAGTGATGAGAGAGAATCACTGATCAGCTGCCTCCTGCACGCCGCCCACTAGGGATGGAGCCCACAACCTGGGCATGTGCCTTGACTATGAATTGAACCGTGACCTCCTGGCTCACAGGTCGATGCCCAACCACCGAGCCACACCAGCTAGGCCAAGTTCTCTTTTTCAACGTGGCTCTTGGTCTCCTAGGATGGCAGATACCTATGCCCCGGCGTTTCCCATGTTTTCTCGTGCCCCTTTCACTGAGCGTTGGATGCCGGGGAAGTCTTCAGAGTTGAGTCGGTTAGGTCCGGGAGCAGTGGGAAGCGGGTGCCTTGAGGGAAAAGGCACTGAGTTGCTGCTCTTCTCTTGAAGGTGGTCTCCCGGCCCCACGCCGTCGCCAATGGCCATGAGTTGTTTGAGGTG